AAGTACTCTTCATCTAGTTCGGAGGAATTCACATCACCATCAGATTTGCCTTCAACCTTATCTGTTCCTGGCTCCCCCTTGTCAAAAGAGTCGCTGCAATCATGAAAGCACTCCTCTTCTCCCGGCTCCTCCAGGGCCTGGGCGGGCACATCCGGGAGCACTTTGCTCTGGGAATGCCCATCTTTGAGGTGAGAAATGGGAGGGCTAACATCTTCGGATTCATGGGGATCTGTAATCTTTAAGCCATTCATCAGCTCTTCTGGAGCCCCAGAGTTCTCAGATTTCTCCCCCATGCTGGATTCAGTGGGGGGGAGGTGAAGCTGAAGTTCTGGAAAGAAGATGACATGCTATTTATACACAACAACAACAAAATTCCCTTTTTGCTACGGGTTACAGCTAAGCAAATCTTTTGTGATTACAATCTGCGCGAAGACCTCAAACACAGCCTTGTTTCCGGCCATTGGAGTTCATTACTTGGGGGTGGGGGGGGGAAATTATAATCCCATAAATAATGCCAAACACCATTTTAATTGGCATCCATTGCCTGGACAAATTTAGCATCTCAACCTTACAGCACCTCAAATTTACAAGCAAGAAGCAAGGCTATTTTCAAATTTCACTGCTTATGGGGCAGGAAAAGAATAGGCACATGTTAAAACACTGGCAAGAAAGAAATGAAATAGCTTTACGCTTTATTTCGTATGAATAACTCAGTCGTCAATAAGAAATACGAACTCTCTTTTCCGGTGGAGCTCAAAGTCGAGTACTTGCCCAAATCAACTTAATGCATGTAGCAGAGTCCGGTGAGGTTACCAGCAGAAGCGAAGCTCTGGCGTAGTTTTAACAAGGATTTTCGAGAGGGTCAGAATGAGACTGTGTAAGTGGTTCTCGGATAACGAAACACTCAGGATATTTCAGGAAATACATAAACCAGACTCAATCTACCACGGACATGCTGAATGAACTGGTGTAGTGTCCGTCCACGGCATATGATTCCCCCCCACCCAAAGCTTCTCAAGTGATTTTAATGGACAGACTGTTGAGAACGATCGCTCTAAAAGCTGAGTCAGTCCATTAGCCGTACCACCCCCACCTCTCCGGTCGCAACCACATCACACCCATGACTTGCGCTGCGACATGAGCCGAAATTAGCCGTAGGGCGTCCCAAGAAACACTAAAACAGCAAGATCGCACGGAGACGTTCGCTCGCTACTGTATCGTGTCCCTTCCTGCTTCCGATTCCATTAGAAGGAGGCAGCAGTCCAGGCCCCTAGGCCTGGGGAGGTGCCACCCCGAGCCTCACGACCTACCGTCTTCTCGCCGCGTCCCTGGCCGGCAAACTGCAGACCCAGGAGACCCCTCACCTGCGCCGCGAGCCTCACCTTCCCAGGCTCGGAGTCCCTTCCTTCCGCCCAGCGGAGAGCATTTCCGCCGGCGCCGGCCAATGGCGTAGCCTTACTGAAGCATTCTGGGAAGTGTAGTGAAAACCCTCGGTGGGGGGAACAGGGTCGCCTGTGTGACGTCACTGTACGGCCTGGGTGATGAGCCGCGATTGCAGCTTACTTTTGGCGCCGGGTTTCTCAAAGCACAGACTCGGAAGCAGACGCACGTCGCGGCCATCGCGTGTGCCGACGCGCAGCGATCCTGGCGGGCAGCAGAACGGTCCTGGAGCTCCGGGACGGACGGTAGCTGTTGACGGGACCCGCAGGCCCCGTCCCTCTCCCGCAGAGCGGCTGGTGCTTTCGAACTGCCGACCTTGCAGCTCGCAGCCCAACGCGTAACCGCTGGGCCGCCAGGTTCCTTTCTCAAAGCACAGAGAGAGAAAAAAGAAAGTGAAAACATGTCCCTAAGGTAGCTTCTTTACCTTTTCCGCTCCAACCTCTCTCAGGTAGAGGAAACCCGAAGCAGAAACATGGTCCAAAAGTTTCACTTCTAGTTATTCTCAGTGTGCCTTGGGTCCCTTGTTTATAATAATTTTAAATTTTCGATTTTTTAATATTCTGTCATAAATGTTCAGTGAAGTGTCACAACTGATGTGTCACGTGACGACGGGAGACCGGGGAATCCAGCTCCTGTAGACATTTGCACAATAGACTCTTCTCCAGATTATGTTGGAGCTTAAACTCTGAGCACTAGGTTTGTGAAAGCTACAGTTTACAGGGAGCGCATTAAATCCATTTTAACTCTCCACAGAGATTCAACCTCCTGTGAGTTCTCCCTAGCCATTGACCAGCAATTTTAAAAGCTCTGCCCTAGTCCTGTAAAAACCTACAGCTTTCTACTCCCGTACAGATTTACAGCTTCAGGAACCCGGGGAAGTTGTTTATTGACTCGGCAAAGGCACTCAACTGTGTGGATCAAAGGAACTGTGGATCGCATTGAGATTCCAGAACACTCCATCGTGCTCCTGGCTGAACCTGTACAAGATGAGTGGGCCTGCATTCAGACAGAAGAAGGGGACATTGCTTGGTTTAGAATCAGGAAAGATAGGCGTCAGAGTTGTATCCTTTCGCCATGTTCAATTTGTATGCTGAACAAATAATCCAAGGAACTGGACTATATGAAGAAGAATGTGGTATCAAGGTTGGAGGAAGACATAAACACCTGCTATATACAGATGACACCACAGAATGAAACACCTCCCGGTCCTGCACCAGCCTCACAATTGTCTTTACATCCGAGCTCATTGTTGCAACCACTGTGTCAATCCATCTTGTCGAGGGTCTTCCTCTTTGCCCTCTACACTGCTCCCCAAACCCAAACCCAAATTCACTGCCATTGAGTCAATCCTGACTCACAGCGACCCTATAGGACAGGGCAGAACGCCCCCCATGGGTCACATGTGGAGTTATTCTGTCCTGTCCTATAGGGTCCCCATGAGTTAAAATGGACTTGATGGCAGTGAGTTTTAGAGGATAGAGTAGATGGCCTCTGTGCGTTTCTCAGGCTGTAAATCTCTACGGAAGCAGAAATCCTCATCTTTCTCACTCGAGGTGGCTGGTGGTTTCAAACTGCTGACCTTTTGGTGATCAGCATAATCCACTATGCCCTTCAAGACAGGTAACCAGCCATGTCAGCAGAGCATTAGAGAGAGTCCCTTAGTTTATAGGACTCACTGCAACAATAACTGGAAGGGTCTATTCCAGGAAGGGTATCAAACATTAAAGAAACATTTATGTATAAACCAAGCTATGACAAAGGGTGGCCACCCCAAGACTGTGGAAATGGGGTCATTGGACTTTGGGTGGGACCTCTGGTTTAGTGGGTGTCTAATGAAAGGGGACCCAGAATCACCATATATTTAATACCTTATCTCATTGCTCCCTTGCATTAATATGACAGGTTTTATTCTGATAGGCAAGGATCTGCCCTTGTAAATACTAATACAGGAAAATTTCCCTTAGCACCAGTCTCCATACTCAGTGTAAACAGAGCTCAATCAATTAAGAAATCAATCTGTACAAAGCAACAGTTCATGGATTGTAGCTCTCAGTTGGACTATACTTGAATAAACTCATATCAACAGTATCTTCAATTCTATGTCATTGGAAAAAATATTGTTATCAATGCAATCGCCTTATTGACAATGTTTCTCTTTTTTGTTTCTTTGGTTTTTTGTTTTTCTGCCTTTTGTTTTTTTTTGTTTGTTTTGTTTTATTGTGGCGGTTGTTTATGTGGGTTTTTGTTTTGTCATAATATGACCACCAAAGTAAACCAGTCATTCATAATTTTGGGACAAGTGGATGGATTCTGGTCTCCCACATACTTCTAGCCCCAATCCAAGAACAGTTAGTTCTTATAACATGGCCCTGCTCACTGAGGGTGCTACAGCAAAGTGTGGTAAAGAAAACAGATGGTGTCCAGCTATCAATTGGAATAGTGTCTGGGTCTTAAAGGCTTGTATTCACATAAGCAACCATCTAAGTGAGGCATCGAGTTACACAGAAGATGCAAACCAGTCTGTGTGTTCCAAAGACGACAATAACAAAATTCAAATATGATGAAGGGAACAGTATCAGAGCTTAAATTGTGAACCCCCAATTTGTAGAAGGCTATGGAGGACAGTGGGACCCTAAAATCCACCTGCAGTGTATCTAGTCAGAGTAAGTCTCTGGCAGATCCCCTTTAGCCACAGGGACGGGACTTGAACAGTTTCACTATGGGAAACAGAAGGATTTCTCTCAAGCTGTCTCCCCGAAATATATGCCAGACTTAGCTGCTTGAGAATGACTATACTCTTGGAGGTCATCTGGAGTAAATCAGGGGTCATTCTCCCTAAGAACTATCAGCCATCTAGACCAAGCAGACACCACTGTTTATCCCACAACAAGTAGGGCCCACTCCCTTCTGATAAGGATAGTAGTTGTCTGTTTCCTTATAGGAGACACCAGGGAGGTAAAACCCATCCAAGGATGACCAAGGTTAGGCTGCCGTCATGAATCTAGGGTCCGCCCATCTTGTCACATGTATACCCCTTCCTACAGTGTGTATACCTATTGTACTGCCCCTTCCTGTGACATGTGATTACCTGTAATCATGTCCCCCTAAAGAGATATAACGCTTGGTTAGCAATAAAGAAGGAGCTCTCCCCGGTTCTCGGGCGCTGGAGGCTATCTCCTGCTCTCCCGGCCGGGTTCCCCCAGCGAAGACCACCAAGCGGGCCTGAGGTGAGCATGCTACCATGAATTGTGTCTGACTCTCGTATTTGACTCTCTCTTCTATCTCTCATGCTCTCTATGACTTTACTACAATTTTTACTTATTATCTCTGTACAATTGCGCCTATTGTGATAATTTGTGGGGCACCCCTCTCCTTCTCCCCACATTTTACCGTTCAACAGAGACTACTGTACACTTGACTACAGTGCATTGACCATGGTATAATATGATACTCGGTCAGTTGACCTCCCTCTTGACTCAACCTGAATTTGCTCTACACTCAAGTTTCTCGCTTGTTCCATGACAGACATTTCTTCTCTAGCTTTAAAAATACTGATGGTGGTTTTTCTTTCTTACTCTTTATTTGTATTTTAATTTTTATTA